CTCTTGTCTTTTGTCCCGTTGCTGTAGGAGTTCTTTATGTGCTGTCTGCAGACTCTTACTTGCACGGAGACACAAATTTTTGTGCTGGAAGGAGGTGGTTTGTTGGAGTCCTCTGATCTGACCTCCGACTCAGAGAATGGTTGAGGTTGGAAGGGACCTCTAGAGATCATCCAGTCCACCCCCCCTGCTCCAGCAGGGACACCCAGAGCATGACCTCATGCATTGCAGAAGCTCAAGAACTTGCTTTATGTTCTTATGCTGCAAGTACCACACACTTCCATTGGAGCTAGACTGTAATGCTCTTGATAAGTAGGAGATTGATAATTAAGCTCTAGACAAAATTATTCACTTATTTAGAATGTGATCAAAGATTAAAAACATCTCCTTTCTTCATGAAGAGTTGATGCTTGAAAAACACTGTGTTTCTTTCCCCTTCCTCCTCCATTTTTCTGTACTTTGATTTTTCAGTCATAAAGCTGTTAATGGAGTTTTTCAGCATTTCCTAAGCTATCATAGGAAAAGAAGTGCTATGGATATTTCTCCTTTTATACACACATGTGTTCATATTTACACTGTCAGAATTTGTTTTACACAGATTAAACCTTCCCCTTCGGGTAGGAGCAGTGTTAGCTTCTGTTGAGTTTATTTAGTGGGAGCAGCTGGGCGCATATCCAGAATGTTGAGAGTTCATCTTTAGTATCTGTCTCCTCATGGTGGGCCAAATTTTCTGCTTGAATAAATGAGTCTAATGGAGTTACATGCCTGATGGTTTGTTCCTTTCGAACAGCCAAGGCTGAGAAGCTCTGCACAACTGTCAGTGTTGTTTTGACTGAAAAATGTCAGGCTCTCACTATGACTGTTTTCCCACCTTACAAACAGCTTATCAGAAAATGGCAATAGCTGTGAATCAAATTCTTTCTGTTCTGCAGGCTATGGATTATGCTATGGAATGCAAACTGTATGTTGATAAAGCCCTGAGGTTCAGATTTTTCCTTCTGTGTAATTTTCAGTGCAGAGAGATGCATTATTTTTAATATCCTTTTAATCCTGTTTCTGAAAGCTAATTCAGCTGTGCCGTCTGCACGAAGGGAGGCGGCAGTGACGAGTGTTCGTGGTAGTGCCCATTTCCCTCGGCAGGATGGCGGGGGTGAAGGTGGCAACGAGGTCGTGTTCTAGGCACTAACAAGGAAGAATTAAGATTGTGCAGTTTCCTATCCTCATTGCAATTTTCATCAAGAGATTGAACTAATGGGCCATTATTCTCTTCTCACTAAAGGCTTTTCCCACTACAACAAGGATGTAAAGGTTTTCACGATCTCTTAGGTACGGAGTCGTCTGGCCTGTCCTGGTGTTTCTGGCAGTGTGTTTTGGCTGGCCCATCGCGGCGTCCCTGGTGACAGGCCGGGGGGAAGGCGGTCGGCAGATGAGCCGTGCCCAGAACAGACCATCAGGAAGGACGTCGTAATCCAGCATGCTCGACATAAAAGCTGTTTGCATTCTCAAGACTTACATTGGCAGAGCTGAAACAGTGGAGCAGGGTGGCTCAGGAAGGCCAGCCTGTGCTCCTGAAAATGCTGGTCCGGAATTATGCCCTTGGTTGTAACGCTGGCCTTGCTGATCGACCCAGGGGAAGCGGCTTGTGATTCGTTCCCGGTGCCACGGAGGTCTAGTGACAAAACTCCAGATGGCCTCAGTAGGAATGGGGCTGAATCGTTGTTCTTGGCTTTCGCCGCTTATCCGGTTTTGCGCATAACAAGGTCCACGCTTATCAGATGCTCTTTTCTCTGATAAAAAACGTTCCTGTGAGTGTAAATGGTTGCTGTTAGTGACCTTATGCCTCTGTATGTGTGTGCATATATGTTTATCTATTATTAAATCATGTTTTTTTAATCGGTCTGCATCATTTGGGGTGAAGGGTGGTTTTTTATTTTCCATTTCAAAAGAATGGGGCTGCCAGCATCTTGTGCTAATTTTTTCAATGCAGCAACGCTATGCCAGTTTGGAATAGGAACACTGTGATTAGGAACGCTGTTTTGCGTTTCCACAAGCACTTCCTGTGTTCGTGTTGTAACTCCTCCATCCAAATCTTTGTTCTGCAGACACTCTCATCAGAGACTCTGACCTTTGTGCAGGTAGCCTTATGTCCGCTACAA